ATTTGGATTTTCATTTCAATATTGCCCTCCATAAATTGCATCTCAATGTCCTCCAACATTCGGCACTTGTGCAACTTGGTCCCAAATTTCATATCTTTGTACGTTTTTGGTCCTTTTTTTATTCTTTTGCCTTGTTCTCTTTCATTTTTGTGATTTTTATCTACAAACGCAATAATTACAAATTGTGAGTGGAAACTCGCTCATTTTTATCAATAATAAGTATATTTAAATATTAAATAAGTGTACAAAAACACACTTATCAGCAACCCTTTTCCCATCTAATTACACAACTTCACATAATTAGGTAGCAATCCGCTCAATTAATAATAATTTATCAGGGGACATGTGAACTTTATCTTACTCGAAGGCTACTCGACTATGGCTAGCCAGCTAGGTGATCTTTGCCAGAATTTTTTGTTTTTTTCCATTCTCTATATGTTTATAAGTGGAGAAATTAAGTGACATTACTTGTATAAGAAATTATTTAATTCTGAATGAAAATAAAATATCCCTAACAGACAGAGTATTAAATATATATCTTAGCTAATCAAAATATTTACACAAACAACTTTTGATATGATTAAACATTCGTTCATATGAATCATATCTGAAAGAAACTTGTTCTTTCTATGCTTAGAAAGTTGTTTGAACATAGAATCTTGTGGACCAAATTTTCTTTTATCACATAATGGTGTACGTACCAATAATTTTTAGAGGGTCCAGTAGAATTGTTTTAGGTCCTTCGATATTTTTTTTTATTATGATGGAACACACACACACACACATGTTGCACTCATCACCACTCATTCAAAGATGAAAATGAAATGAAATGAAAAAACTTATCGAAACTTGGACAGGTAATGTGAGTCACCAACTCATAAAGAACGAATATACCATTATACATATTCATGGTATTTTCGAAATATTGGAATCTAGTAATAGGATTCTCTTCCTACTTACAAACAAAGACTAAAAGTCTAGAGAATATGGCTAAATTTTGAAGATTCGCCCCTATAAATATCAATTGTTTTGTGATTCCACATTTAAAGGTGGACTTAAGCGGGTTTTCTCCGAATTGAACAAAATTAATAATGATTAAATATTTTATAGAGAACCGGTCGATATTAAGAAGGAGAAAATAAGTACGTTTATTTAATTAGTCCTTCGATGACCCTTGGCATAAGTTCAACTCAAAAATTACCAATGATCAACGACACACCAAATTTTCTTATTTACCTTAGCTACTTTGCTTAGGCTTTGTCGATAAGTTTTATCTACCTTAAAATGTATGGAATGCTTGTGATAATTAATTTCTTTAGCATATTCCTTAACTGTTAAATAAATTAGAATAGGTAGAAGTGTTTGTAAATTTTTGAGTTACATAACGAGTGTGAAAGGAATTACATATAATAATATTAATGTCTTACTTACTTGCCTTCATTTTTTATTTTTTCTTTTATACACAAATTAGTGTTTTATGTACTTTATTTTTCGCGAATATTTAATTGCATATCTAATCTTGAAAAGAAGAAGAATAATATTGCTTAATTTTTATTATTATCATTGAATCACAAGATACATATTTATACAAGTATTTTTCTATAATGGTGCTAATCTATTCTAGGTAAGCAAAGTATAATAAAAATCTAAAATATGTAATAATCCTACAGTTAATATATCACATATTGGTCCCGTGAATATTGAGATATTATTGACTTTCCTAACACTCCGCCCCTCAAGTTGGAGTGTGAATATCGATGTCTTTTTGTGCTTCCAATCCCTAAATTCGGTCTTAGTGAATATATGTTCATCTCCTTGACCC